AAAAAAACGGTAGAATAAAGGAAAGAACGGTCCAGATTAGAGAGCCAGTATTGCTTGGCCCCATCCTGTGCCAAGAGAGAGAGAGTTGTTTTTATCACAGGCCTGCAGGTGGCCGTTCAGCATTGGAGCTCCTGTTTAATTACCTATCCATAGTGCAACCAGAGATAAGAACACACTAGACACCCGACATTGAGATACACCTCTTGTGTTAGAAGAGTTTTGAATAGTCTCACTTTGCAAATAATACTCGATGCGTTACAGTGTTTGCATTCTAACGGGGCACCTTACCGCACAGATGTACACTCTTGTCAGTTAATCTTTCTATAAAAATTTAAAAAATCCCACTGGGCATATTTTATATGTTTGCTACATTCACTTCCGTAAAACTCCCGTAATTTGTATGGGCCAAACCTCATTATATGAATAATCACGACAACAAATTCCAAGGTTGTCAAGTTGCCAGATCTTGTATGAAACGCATCTTTCTCACACGATCGACGCATACAAATTTCAACCCATTTGTCCCCTCAACTTGGCAACCTACAGCCCAGTGATGCTATTGATATGTGCGCAGGTAGTACCGCGGGAAGGAAACAATGAAGATAATGAATTATAAAACTCTAAAGATATAGCCTACGCTAAGATACATTTATGTTACTAAATGAATATAATTGTTTGATAATAATTGTTTAAATTAATATAAAAATAATATAATATAATATAAAATTACTTTTGACTCCACCCCCCTTTCCCGTATTTTGGTACCCAAATGTTGTCAGGTATGGCACAGAGGAATGACATTGTTGAAATAACTTTGAAAAAACCTTTTTTTCCAGCTAATGAATGATAAAAACTTTGACAGCCAATCAGAGAGCTTTAAAGAGCTTGAGCAGTTAAAGCAGCAGACGACATAACTGCAGCTTATATTAAATAGACAGTTATTGAGGCTAGGTAATATTATTATCATTATAGCTATCATTCTTGGTGTAAACGAGTCTTAACAGTTGTTTAGTCAGCCCTCTGTATTGGAATGTCACGATTTCCCAGCATGCACTACACTGGTATATAATGTTGGATAAATTAAATATTACCAATTTCAATATATTGCAAGTATATCATTTAAAGTGTCACATATATTGACACATTGTTCTAATCTATCAATCAAAAGGAAGTCAAATTGACAGTTAAATTGACAAATTACAGTATTTATAAAGGAGTATTATATATTTTAAGAATCTTATACTTTCATTAATCACTGCTTTCCCCACAATACTAGACATTGTGTGGTTTCATTGTATTTAATTATTTTTCAGAGGAATGTATTTGTTATTTTCTATTAGAAAGTAAAGTATAGATTTTAGATGATTAGATTATGTTCTAATTTAACATCTCATAAGTTAATACTGTTCGCACTAAAGTTTTCAGAGAGTTTATTTCTATTTTCTATAGAAGTCATCTATCTTGAACCCTCTTGTGGAATTCCTCAATCAATACTCTGCTGCTTTTGAACCAAAGTCTGTGGGTACCGTCCATGATTATGAGATTTAATGACTTTACCGATGAATCTGCTCTGTATTTTCCAGCAGTGTGCCACGAAAGCAAACAGACAAACATCTGTGACCTACAGGCCCTGGTTAAAAGGCTTCTTTGACCTCGCTTAACCTTTGATGTCTGATTTGACCCCCAGCTTGCTGTGTTGTTTGTCTACTCTCCCTAAATGCAACTTACTTTACGCATGCGTCAACATCTTGCAGTAAAAAAAACTTAACCCATTTTCAGCCAATTTTCCTCTCTCTTTGACATACATCCAGACTGCACGCCTGTTACATGTTTAAGACTAACAATGACAGATATATTTGTCTTTGGGTCACATGACAGAGGAAGCAGTTGTCTGTTAAACTGCCCCTCTCGATTGTGTCTGTTTTATAGTTTGTGCATCTGGTTGTAGTGTGTGAAAATGAGAATTGCTTTGTTCTTTCGTCTCTGGGAATTTTGTCTTTTTAGTTTACACACTCAAATCAATTTCATTTTTTGTTGGTTCAAAATTAGTGGTGAAATTTTAACTAGATGTGAATATCAAATCACAATTATCATTAATTTGATAACGTGTTTTGACTTTTGGTCTTCTTTTTTAGATTTGGAACTAATTCAATGAAAAGTCCATGTGCTTACAGTGATAAATCATCAAAATCATTTTCAGATCACAAGAATCATATCAAGAACAAAATTGCACTGCCTCAAATGCAAAAACCACCCAATTTGATTAAAAAAAA